CCGACGTTCTGTGTTGGACGTCTTAAGCGGTACTTTGATCCGCAGGGGGTTGCTGAATCTCAGACCCACCTTGGCCCAGCTTCTCGAAGCGAGGGCCGGCCACAGACGTCGACGTGGGCGTTGGAGCAGGCACCCAAGCCTCGGTCTGAGCGGCAAAACTGCGGTCAAGACCGTACCCAAGAGGGGCTCCGTACGAACGGACCACGGAGCCATATGCCGAGTACGTTGAGTACGCCGGGTACGCACCATACGCGTACGTCAGGGAGTGCGTCGAAGGCGGCTCCGGATGTGGCAACAGAGCCTCGATCCGTCGGATCATGCAAAGGACCTCGTCCAGATCGGACGAAGCGGCCCGTCAGTCCACCCGCAGATGCAGGCTCGCGACCTCACGCTTCAACAGGTCTAGGTGGACCGCAAGACGAGCGAGCTCGCCCTGATTCCCGGCCTGAGCGGCAGCATCACCGCCAGTCCCAAGGCCAAGTGCAATCTCAAGCACGAGGACACGTTGACGGAGGCGATCAACCTCAGGGCCCTGTGTCGGACCCGCAGGAGAAGCACTCGGACGAGACTGGCGTTCGGGAGGCGCCGAGTACTCGTACTCGTATGAGGGCACCTCCGCCCCTGCTTGACCGGAACGGAGAAGTCCACTTCCACGCGGAGCGGATCGTCCAGGAGCAACGGCGTCGCGGTAAGCGACAGCTCCTCGTGAAGTGGAGGGGTTATGCCCACTCCGAGAACTCGTGGAAGCCGATTGAACGGCTCCTGATTGACTACCCGAAGGCTGTTGCAATCTGGGAACAGAAGCGGCGGCAGCTTCATAGGTAGTCCGGGGTTTCTTGCCCGAACGGGGTACGGACGTCGACGACACTCCGTACCCGCGCTCATCGTGAGCGCTGGAAGCCGCGCGCTTCAGGATGCACCTTGGCCGAATGCGCTTGCTGACCATGTGGACAAACCGAACACGAAGATAACGCTAGTCCAGGATGCGGGACAGCAGCTGATCTTCGGGGAGCTCCCGTAACTCCGAGGGTGGACTTGAGAGACTCCACCCAAGCCCAGAACATGTCCTCATAAGAACTTTAGTTGAGACAGTTCTCGGGAAGAACCCATGGGTATCCCCAGAGAGGGTAGAGACCACCCCGGTTCTCGGGCTTCTTGCGACAAGTCGTAAAGTCATAAAGACGGATGCGGTGTGGCGCGAGAAGCACACACCAAGCCGCCTCCAAGTTGGCAACAAACAACTGTTCCTTCTGAACAAGGGTACGCTCGTAAACACCCCTAGAGGTGTGGCCGCCCACAAGGCCACGAAGAGCGACGAGGAGCTCCAGGAAGAGGTCAGCCCCAGAGTTTTCCTCGGGAGGCCAATACCCTCTTGGGTAGATGGCAGCTCCCTGGCTGAAGGGTGCCACCACCGAATCCCCACGCGCACGCTGTGCCCTCCCGTAGAGCCCGCAGGAGCATCGTGCGTGCTCTCGGACTCGGCTTCGTCCTCACTGCCAGAGTCGAACTCACGCTCAGCGAGCCGAGGGCTCGAACGATTGTCTGGAGAGGCCGAGGGCGACGGGCTGTGGCGCTTGCTTGTTTGCTTGCCCACAGCCGCGTCACCCGATGAACGGATTGCCTCGGGGGTCACCTGAGTAGCTTCCTGAAGCGCCGAGCCTTTGCCGTGAGGCTTGATGCTCTTGTCTTGCGCCTTTGCGGCAGCAGCCTTTGAGCATGTCTTCGCACCGCTCTTCGCAGTGACACGAGGCATGACAAACGGTCGAAGTGGAGACCAAGAAGAGGAGCGCACAGACTGCTGCTCAAGGCTCTAAGGGCCGTTCGTAGCCAAAACAAAACGGTGGATTATGCTTCCATGGCCCAATCATTTCACTTGGATTCATTTGGCAGTGGACGCCGTATGGTCCCGTTTAATCCACGTCCACTGTGTGAATTAGGGTTGGTTGCCTTGGACGGAAGGTGGACGGGAGGAGAGACATACCTGACGGGATAGAACGACACCTTTGGCTGGCGTTTATACAGCTCATTCCATCAAGTCTCCTGAAGCACTCAGTCCACATCAGCAACCAACGGTCCCCTGTCAATCTATCGCCATGTCCTCCTCCTCCGTTATGTCTCCTCGTTTGCCTTCACCTACGGCACCTTCAACTACCGCTACATCTGACGGCGGCATTTCCGCGACTGCATCGACTATTGGTGATGTCATGTACAACGGCACCATGAATCTAGAGGAAGCCGAATCGTGTCTGATGGCATTTGAAGCTAAACAACTTCGCACAGAGTGCTACCTTCGGCAGCTACGTATCGTTAAAAAGGACCCGGACGCCAACGACCACAAGTCGGGATATGTTGCGTTATTAATGCAACAGAAGCGCGCGTTCAGCGAGATGCAACGTCTAGGTGTGGAGGAAGGTCAGGCTAAATGCGGTGTAGTGGGATACAAACGTCGTACTCGCCACTGCATGCTACGGCTTTTGAATGTCATGTTTTCGGACTTATTTGCACACCGGCTTCCTGAAATTGACGCTAGAGCAACCAGGGCCGAGTTGGATACAAACATGACTCAAGAAAAAAGCACATTTTGGACGGATTTTCACTCAGCGTACTTGAGTTCGCGTCCAGAATTCAGCAAGCTTGTTTCACCTCTGGCAGAATTCGAAAATGCAATCCTGGGTTCACCGTTCCTCACGAAGCTGCAAAATTACGAGATATGTAGAACGATATTACTGGTCATTATGCTACTGCTGTGGCGAACTCTCAAATTTCAGGCGTGCACTTCTTTTCTTTCTGCTCCGGAAAAATCGACGTCCTGTACATGCATGAGTGGATGCGTGAGAAACCTGGTTTGTTGGAGTCCGTAGAAGGGTAACTGCCAAAACGTGCACGTTTACATACATGGAGGGAGCTAGTGACAACGACGACGACGAGGTTGGAGGATCTCGTCAATAAAAAAACAACGTATTCGTTCGAAGAAAGGGAAGTCAAAAGTGAAAGAGATCAAATTGAGCGATATTCTTACGACAATGCAAGCCAATAACGCCTCGGCTCAGACGCTTGAGCTAGACTATCGCCTGGCACAGCTGATGAGCTCTTTGAATTCGCTCATGGAGCTTAGAGAGCGGATTCTTCGTGCTCCAGAAGGAATATATGAGACGGCGCGAAACGAACGGATCCTTACGAACCATTTAGAGTTATCGAGATAAACGGCCTTAAAGATTGACCACTCAAAAACGTAATTCAGCGAATTTTTCAGTAGAGGCGTATTTCCAAACGGACCCATTTTTTGGTGGTGCATCTTTTAGAACGAGCACGATGAACACCAGCACAAACTCTTCCAGCACTTCGGTTGTGGCCAGCGACGCCAGTACCAGGACAAACACTGCGCTTCGGCATTATGACAGGAATCTACTGGGCTCTCTTCTACCTGACCCGGACGCAACCGGCGGTGAAGGATCAGATGACAGTGTGTGGGAGCCAATATCAGGCGAATCAAGTGGCGTTTCGAGTGCTGAAGACGTTGAAGATGCCTTGGAGGAAGCCTTACAGGATCATTCAGACGTAGAGTCTGTTGAGGTCTTCTCAGTGGAAAGTAGGATCTTTTGGTCTGATGACCAACTTCGGAAGCAAGTTACGAGTTTGATTCAGCAAGATCATTGCACGGGCAAATGACTACGCATGAAAAGAAGCAGAGCATCCTGACCTCGCTGGCGATGTTGATGAAGACAGACACCGCAGTACGTCGTCGTGGGAGTGGTGAACAGCAAGACCTCTCGTTTTTTTACCACTAATAGGGCGCGAAGAACGTTTGATGGGATTAAGACCGATGATACGAAGGTGCGCAACCTTCTGGACAACTATCTTGAGCTTTTACAGCCTCCAGCCCCCGATTTTGAAAAGAAGCAGCAAATGCACAACAAAGTGAAGCCGTACGTGCCCGTCGAGTATGCATCGGACCCAATATACGCAGCTCCAACCGACGAAGAGGAACGACTCGCAAACGAAGCTAAGCAGTCGCGTCGTAAAGCAAGCACGCAGAAGAAGAAGAAAAGCGCTAGTTGTCTGGAAGGCCAAGCAACGACGAACCCCGTCAGCATGGATGTAACTACGGACACCACAGCTCAGCCTAAAACCTGCAAACAAACACGCAAGCGTGCCAGGAAAGAAATGTAGGCCCACAAAGGCACTAAATGTTAGCAGCAAAATGATATGATCCTTTTAGCCCGTACCCATTTGTTTTTAAAATGGCTGTAAGCACCCAAAACAAATAAAAATATCCCCTCAAATTTGGGCCCCAACTGGTAAAGACCTTCATTTGAAGCAGAAGGAAGTCGAATTAGGACGCGGGAATAGGCTCAAACGATGCGGATACCTTAACTACACAAGAAAAGAGGAGATCCTCCTCTTTCGAATGGTGTGCCTAAAACGCGATTCGTACTTAGGTTTGTAAGCGTCTTTTCGTTTCGCGCCGTCTCATATACTCATGACGACCTAATGGAGGTAAACGAAGACATTGAACACGTTCGTGCAAAGAAGAAAGCCCTCATAAGAAAATAACAAATAAAGTGTGTCAAGATCAGTATTTTTATTTAGTTGTTTACACTCCGATTGCGTGAAATGTTGTACTGAGGCCGTACAGTGTTATTAGCGCGAAGGTACTGAGCAATATAGTCTCTCATGTAGCTGTTACCCTCTTCAACAACAAGATCACTTGACATGTAGCCCATGAGATTGGCAACGTCATTTCATCTTTGCACTCTTTGCGAGACGCGAATGGGTTGAATCGACTCGTCAAATAAACAATAGTCGGCATCAGATATTATACGTCTGTTATTCACGTAGTTATGCAGCACCATAGCTGTGTAAATTGTAGTGGTAGCATTCAAAAGGTTCCGTGAGATAGGAGATCGAAATACCCGCCATTTTGTAGTCAAAGACCAAAAGCCATTTCAATTCTGATTCGTATTTGACTAGCATGGAAATTGAATGAGTCGTGGTACTCGTCAACAATTTGGTTGCGTATAAATGGCGTGATCAAATGCTCACTCACAGGATACGCATTGTCGCCGATGATATACATTCCTGTAGGAAATGAGTTGAGACTTCTCGCCACACCAGTCCCACGAAAAGCACGTGCATCATTTGTACTTCCTGGATAGCTGGCATCCACAGATATGAAGCGACAATGCGCATCGCACACGGCCTGCACATTGATACCAGGACATGCATAGTGTCCACTATAATAGCGTCCAGTACCTACGTCTCCAGCGTCTTCTGCTGAAGGCGCCTTAATAACACATAGCCATCCGTCTACGCAACCGACACAACCGCTTATTATTCCACTGGAGCTGATAGCCTTAAAGTCGTTCATCACAACCTCTCTGTCCGATTCAGAATAAGGAAATACGATTTTCAATTCTCGTAGACCGAGAATCGCGAACATTGTCTCGTTAATGACACGGTAGTAAGAAGATCCACTAATTCCCACAGTACGGCGAATATCAAGATACGAGCCACCAGCTAAATAACGCAGTGTAGTCATGAGCCTAAGTGGAGGCGATATTGGTTCTTCCCCGCTCGAGTTGGCAGATTGCTGTCTATTAGCCTCAATATTTGGTGTTAAGAGCCCCAACAGGTACGAAAAACTGTCGGCAGTCATTCGAAAGGCTCGCTCGAACATGTTTTCATTCAACAGCATCTCAATTTCGAGATCAACATCGATGCGATGACGCGAGTAGCGCGAGTCCCGTGCTCGTGCTTGCAATAGAACGAACAGCAGCAGTATCGTTTGGACGTTGGCTCGATCGCGAAGACGACGAGTGATCGCTATGATCTCGCTGGGTGTGCGCATTTCGTTGCGATAGTGGAAGAGAACAAATGCAAAGCGATCAAAGTGATTTATCGCAGTTATAAGCTAATATTAGATGTCAACCACCCCTTTTTCAACCTTAGCCACTAAGGCCATCCACTAGTTTTAAGTTTGTTCTTAGCCGAATCAAGCACAAAAAGTACCATCCACCTTAACTCTCATCCACTTGCAAGAAATCGGCTAAGAACGGCCCTAACTGTTAAGTGAGCCCCCGCCTCGCTCGCGCCGCCAAGTCGATGTTTTCGACTTTGAGAATGAAAGTTTGTGACGAACACTTCTTCGTTATGATTGGTCGGTAAACCGAGCCTAAGTGGGGGAGGATGTAACGGGGTACGTAGCCCTAAGTGTACCCTAGTTACATGAAGTGTGACACATCACACTTCGGGATATTTGGTACCAGGTACCAAAGTCGTCCAAAGCCAACCATTGGCTGATGACATTGCTTTTCTATAGGTGACTTATAGTCTGTATTTAACCCAAGCTTTATCTACCTATAAATATACTCAGTTTACATTCTACCTTAAATAGGTCACTTCGCTCCCTTTCGATAAAAGGGGACCTGTGAACTGCCGTTCACTGAGAGTTTGTATACTTTTGGAAGCTAACTTCCTCTAGCGCAAGGTGCGGTGTGACCCCGTCACATAAGTAGTGCAAGCTAGACAGACCATTACTATCTTTGAGCTAAGTTTCATAGCGGCTCAGAAATGGTCCGTGAGATCGAGCACGACGCTTAACTAAACGTATTGTGTAGCGTTTGTATAAATGTTATTTGAAGTGCAAGTGGTTTTGGGTGGAAGATGAAGATACAATGATAGGTATTAATATTAATAGCAGTAATAAAAAGATTGCATCAAAAATATTGATTTAAGATCATCTAACCCCCCTAGTAGAGTCTGGTGTCCGTCTGTCCGTCCGAGGTAGGGTTCTAAAATGTAACGCAAATGCACGCGTTCTACTGGCTGCCGAGCGCAGCGAAGGCGGCGTCGATTCGCTAAAATTGCATTATGTGGTGTACATATTATAGGTGGTCTACACATCGTACTTAAAAGCACCGTTCAAATTTCATTTTGCCCCCATTTTCGAAACGGAGGCCGCGGAACGTCACGTTACTCGAGGTACGCTGCGTGTATGCATGTTAGTTTACATTAGTAGCTAGCAAGACACACATACACAGATAGTCCGAGGTTCCTGGGGCTGCTTAGGGGGGTAGCTTATAACTTGCGGGATTTTATCCTGCAAGTAGGTAGCCGTGCTATGGGGATTTAGTTCCAGAGCCCTTTGGGTTCTTGGGGCTTTATCCCACCCGCCACTCTGCGCGAGAGCACATTTGGCACATGGTCCATTGACCGCAAACCCGACAGCGAACCCAGTTGAGCCGGTCGTTAATGATTATTGATGGGCACGCACATTGCGTGCGTGCAGTTGATCAGGAGGGGTACCGTACACTTGTACTCTTTTATACGACAGAAGGGATGGGGCTGTAATAGCCTATCAATAACCAGGCCTTTGCAATAACGACCGCCTTTTGGGAAAAAGATATCGCACCTCA